TGTTCCCGAGGCGGGCAGGGGGCTCTGAGCAGCCCCCCCAGCCTGGGCTCGGGCCCCTCGGGGCTGCAGGAGGGGGGGCAGAGGCTCCGGGGCTCTCTGCGGTGGCACCCGAGACACGGTGACACCTCGGGGGGTGCCACATCCTGTCACCGTGGAGGGGACAGCTCTGAGCTCAGCGCTGCAGAGCCCGACCCAAAAGGGGCCGGGCCGGGCCAGGTCCTGTCCCTGCTCAGCCTCCCTTCCCCTGCAGTTCTCCAGCGGCAGCCGCAGAGTTCGGGAAGCGGCGGGATCGGGATTGGGAATGTTGGAGACACCAACAGCAGCCGGGAGAGCCTCCTGAGGGAGCTGAGGGAAGCTCTGTGCCCGCCACGCTCACCCGGTAACAGCCCCGAGGCGTCTCCGTCCCAAAGATTTCCCGAAATCTCGGGGCACTCCCAGACCGGAGCCCCGAGGGCAGCTCAGAGGGTCCCCGGGGACCGGGTGGGGACTCGGTGACCTGAGCCGGCTCTGATCCCGTTTTCCAGGGGCTGAGGGATGCAGGTTCTGCCCCTGTGGATGGACACTGAACGGGACCAAGTGCTACTGGGTCTCTAGGGAATTCAGATCATGGAACAAGAGCCAGGAGGACTGCGGGGATCGCGGGGCAGAGCTGCTGCAGCCGCGGGATCGGGATGAGCTGGTGAGGGAATGGTGGGGTCAGGGGGGTGGGATGGACCCGGGGCTGGGGGCACCCCGAGAGGGGTGAGGGGGTTCCCAAAATCCCGGGATCGGGATGAGCTGGTGAGGGAATGGTGGGGACAGAGGGGTGGGATGGACCCGGAGCTGGCGGTACCCCGGGAATGGTGAGGGGCTTCCCAAAATCCCGGGATCAGCCCCCATCCCATGGCCAAGTCCTCCCGAATGCCTGTGGGGTCACGGGTAGGGCTCAGTCCCGGGATGAGGACGGAGCCCGTTGTGGGGTGACCAAAACCGCGATTTCACTGCTCCTTGCCCAGGAAATCCTCAATGAAACCCTGCAAAAACCCGGGCGCGGCTTCTGGATCGGGCTCTGGGTGCCCCAGACTGGGATGGGCTGGATGTGGCTGAACGGATCCCGCCTGGACCAGACCCGGTGAGCGCTGGGGAGGGGCTGGGGCAGGGCTGGGGGAACCAAGGGACCGGGGGTGACCCGGCTCCTTCCTGCACCCGCAGGCTCCAGATGGACTCTGGGGAGACACCTGGACAATGTGGGGTGATCAAGGGAAACAGCATCGCCCCTCAGGAGTGCGGCTCGAGTTTAAAATGGATCTGCCAGAGAGAAGCCACCAAACTCTGACCGGGGCCGCGACAGAGCCTGGGGGGATGGAGGAGCCGGGCTGTGACAGTAAATTGCCATCACAGATGGGATTGCTCGGCTGCTCTGATCAGCGCTGTCCAGGGCTCTTGTGGGGTTTGTGCGTGACCCGAGCCTGTTGTGAGGTTTTTCTCCAAAAGAAAAGCCAGGGCGATCCCGTGAGGGAAATGGGAGAGCCCTCATGGGCTCAGTGCCGGGTTCGAAGGGTCTGAGTGCCCCGGACAGAATCGGAACTGTCCCCGCCTGCAGTCCGAGATCTGTAAATGCTGATCCTCCTCCTCTCGGACCCGCCTCGTAACAACTGCCAGGATCCGCGGGCAGTGCTGGATGGCGATCTCTGATCGCTCCGATCCGCTCCGGGACACCCCAAACCCTCCACGGGGCGGCCGAGACCCCTCGGTGCATCTTTTAGATCATTTATTTTATTCTTTATTCTTTATCTTGCCCGTCCCGCGGAGCGGCTCCTTCAAGGACCGGGGCCGCACAAACCCCTCGGGGCGGTTCCAAAGGTCCCCGCTCGCCGCCGCTCCCCGGGGATCGGACACCGCGGGCGGCCCCGGCCCTTTCTCCTTCCTCTCCCTCCCCGTGCCGGGATTCATCCCCGCCGCCGCCCGGCTCCCGCTCCCGCCCCTGCCCGGAACCATCCTGCGGTGCTCCTGACGGGGCCGGAGCGGCTCCCCCGCGCCTCAGGGCCGGGCTTTCCTTCCGTGAGGGATCGAACAGCGCTTCCTTCAGAGACCTTCGGGACCTCTCTCAGGCATCCCCTGCTCCGGCCCGGGCTCCTGCCGGGGCTGTAGGGGGATCCCCGCTCCATCCCGGACTCACACACAGCGGTTCCCGGGACTCCTGCCCGGCCCGGGACGTTCCCAGCCCGTTCCTCTCCATTTGGGACATTTTGAGAGCCCCTCAGGCGAACTCCGCGCCCCTCACGGACCCCGGGCAAAGCCCGCCCTTCGCTCCCATTGGCTGAATCTCCCGCCACTCCTCATTCTCGCGTGCTGATTGGGCAGCGCCTGTTCCCCTCAGCCCCACAGCGCTTCCATTTCCCCCAAAATGAGAAAACGGCCCCAAATCGCTCGGGCTGAGCGGAGGAAGGGACGGGGTTCTGGGAGAAAAATCCCAAAATCGTTTTTGTCGAGGTCGGGAAGATCGAACCGAACCAAACTGAGGTGGCACCCCCAGCAGCGCCTCTGTGCCGGCCCAGCTGAAGCCCTCGCTGGCTGCTCCAGGGTGGAGGGGCAAACTGGGAGCACTGGGAAGGGGACCCTGCTCGGGCCAGGACCAGACTGGGAGCACTGGGAAGGGGCCCCGGCTCGGGGCGGGACCAGACTGGGAGCACTGGGAAGGGGCAACGGCTCGGGGCGGGACCAGACTGGGAGCACTGGGAAGGGGCCCCGGCTCGGGGCGCAGCCCCACGGCCCCCACGGCAGCTCCGAGGCTCCTCCAGCCGGGATGGAACGAGGGATGGGGAGCAGGGGAAGGGATGGGGCTGCCGGGGCCAAGGGACACCAGAGACAATGGGAGGATTCACAATAGTCTATTACAAAATATCAAAATTATAAAGTATAAAATTATAACGGCTCCATTGGCATTGTAAATTCTGATGGCAGTGACAAAAGGACCTCCCCCAGAATCCTCTCACTTGAACGGGGCACTCAGGGATCAAATCCAACCCTTGAGGGAATGGCCCCGGTGGGGGTACCTTATCCCAACCGAGGTCCCATTCCTAAAGCAGCTCAGCTTTCGGGGCTCTACCCACTGGGATATGAATCCATATCCATGGACAGGGTTAGTGTGTGTAACTACAAAGTGTAAGAGAAACCGCTGAGTTCAGGGATGGTTCCAGAAGGAGCAAGAAAACCCCAGCGCCAGTCTAGAGAGGCACAGAGGAACTTCCACAACATCAAATCCTCCTGCAGGTTCATCTGGAGAGCGGGCACTGAGGGGACACTGAGGGGACACTGAAAGCTGCAGAGGGGACACTGAGAGGGGCACTGAGAGCGGGCACTGAGGGGACACAGAGGGGACACGGATAGCTGACACTGAGGGGACACTGAGAGCAGGCACTGGGGTGACCCTACAAAGCAGCACTGGGTGATCCCTGACAGGGCACTGGGCACACTGAGAGCAGACCCTGAGGTGACCCCAGACAGGGCACGGGGACAGTTAGAACCGACCCTGAGGTCAGCACAAGGCCGACCTGCGGCTGAGGTAGGAAATCCCCGTGCTGGGGGGAAGAGGAGGAGCTGAGAGAGCCCAGCACAGAGAAGGAGCTTTGTCCATCCCATCACAGACGAGTTTGGGCTTTGCTGCAGACAAAGGGCAGTAGATTGGTGCAGGGAAGGCTCCCGAAATGATTCTCAGCCAGGTACACGCACTCTGCGGTGCCATAGACAGGAACCCTGCAGGAGGAGCAGAGACAGCGCTGGCACCGTGGGGGGACACCTTGTGCCCCTGTGCCCCCATCCCCTCCCTGTGCCCCCA